AATCCGCTCTATACGCAGGTACTGTGCAACACACCTATGATCGTTACTAGGCCCAGTTAACCAGCAGGATGAGCCAACGGGATATATGACCGGATGTATGGAGCAGTGACAGGAAAACAGCTACTTGCCATACGCCTGCTACTGATCCTCCCAGCCAGGGGGTGAGGAGGTACGGCTCGCAGGAGAATTCAAGTGCAGATGGCCTAAGCCATCAGTTGACGTGGATGCGTAACAAAGCATAGATCTATACTTGGTGATTTGACAGCAGAAAGTCATCGGTACATCCTTCTAGACTATCCGCTGGAATGGCCTTGTCATGACCTCGTGACAAACAAACAGCAGACAGGCGAATTTCCGGTCATCATGGTAGAGATATCTTGCTATGCCGTCCACTGAGAGGAGGACTAGCCCAACCTAGACACAACAATCCTGAGACACACTGCTCATACAGCGAAGGTCCGTGTACCCGCCTACTTGGACCATTGCGGGAACGTCAGCTGACCGGTTTATGAGCCGCGGTTTGCCGCAGATATGGAGGCACGCATCGACGATCGGGGTATTCGGCAGTCGCTTGCCCCAGTCCGTGCCCAAACTGATGGGCCCTCACGAAGACATAGTTTTGTTTCACAGTAGCCCTACTCGTCCTGCGACAGACATTCATTGCGCGCACCCGGATCTGCGAAAGCCCCTCCCCCGCCATGTTGCGCAATGGCCGACAGAGGCGTGCGCGGCTACTGCTACTTCCATGATTCTCGCTCCAGCAGAGAGCGTGGCTGCAAGGCGCATCGGCCCTCTCTCCGGCAGAGTGTGGGAGCGATATGGGCAATTGGCTGCTCACGCGACTCTCCAGCCCTCCTCATTTACCCCACACACGCTCCATCCAAGTTTTGCCCTCGCTCTCCATATCCGCTAGTGTTCGCAGGTGATACAACAAGGTTCCCGCAAAGGCCGGGGTTTCGGTGGTCGCATAACGAACAAGAGCCCGCTTTAATGCCCGGAAGGTTTCCAATAACTAACGAAGAGAACCCGCAGAGCATCACCAGTCCACAGGCTAAATGCCAAGGGAACCTCTAAAAGTCGACAAGGTCTTTTTAAGACAGCTGGTCTAGGCATCCAGAGAAGCACATATAACGACAAACACCAGCTGCCGGCGCAGTCGGCTCACGCCTGTAATCCAGCAACTTTGGGAGGGCCGAGGAGACAGCAGATCACCTGAGGCAGAGTTCAAGACCATAGGCCTGACCACATATCAGAGAACCCTGCGTCTACTAAAGATACAAGATTACGCGCATCGCAGGTACGAAATGGTGCCCCATGCCATGTAATCCAGCTACTCGGATTACCCACCCTCTACTGGGCTCCCTGTCTGTCACTCGATGTGATATCTCCTAGTGCATGCTCGTATATCTTAAGTGGTATAATACTCTACATACTCTGGAGGCGGCAGGTTTGCCCCGGCATGCTTCAGCGCTTGATGTTTCTTCCGTTCTTCATTTTGAGATGGCAGCCTCAGACCTCCGGTAACAAGAAAGCAAAAGTACGCGAAACTGTCCCTGTATCAGGACAAGAATAAGAGCAGAGAAACGATACAAAAAATAACAACTACAAGAGACACAACCGCCGTCGTCCTACGGTCCTCCGCATTCTCGGCGCACACATAGATGGTAAATAATCACTATCTGACCTTGAGCCTTCTCTATGAGTAGCCTGGGAGAGACACGACATCACCCGCCATCCTACGGGTGCTAGTACTGTTCGCACTGCGCCTGCTAATTTTTCTTGGATTTTTTTTTTTTTTTGTTTTTTTTTGAGACGGGTTCGCTCGTGTCGACCGCGAGCTGAGTGCGTGGGCGATCTCGCTCCTGCAGCTCGCCTCTCGGCTTACTCATTCTCCGCCTCAGCCTCCCGAGTAGCGGGACACAGGCGCGCCACCTCGGAATTTAAATGTTTAATCTCCCATAAGTATGGAAGAGAATCCAAATCATTTCTTTTTCTCCAAAAAAAAAAAAAAAAAAAAAATCGCCCGCTTGTTCTTTGTATTTTTTTGATTATTCTTTAGTCAGAGACGGGGGTTTCACCGTGTTCGCCAGGATGGTCCTTCGATCTCCTGCCCTCCGGATCCGCCCTCTCCGCCTCCCAATGTGTGGGTTACACGGCTTGAGCCACCCGGCCCAGCCTTTTTGGATTTTAGTAAGAGACGGAGGTTTCACCGTGGTCTCGATCTCCTGACTTGTGATCTCGCCCGCCCTCGGCCTTCTCCAAAGTGCTGGGATTACAGGCTGGAGCCACCGCCCGGCCCGATGTACCAATGTTTAAAGCTCACAGTTCAGTGGCTTCTGCAGGATGCTTCGCCTGGACGGTGCAGCGTCACCTTCCCTCCTACCACGGAAGTCTCCATTCTCCCCACTGAAGCTCTGTCCCCATGGAACAGTCACACCCCCATCCAGCCCCTGGCCCCACCTTTTGCCCCTTCGTAGTCTCTGGCGGGAAAGACTCACCTGTCCATTTGACTTTGTCTCTGTGGCTCTGAGGGCCTTTTACCACAAGAAAAAGAGAAAAAAAGGATATCAAAAGTGACAGACAGGGAGCCCAGGTAGAAGGTGGGTAAAGTGAGGAGGGCTGGAAGGTGACAGCGAGAGCCATTTTCATCCCACCTCCCAATTCCAGCATTGCCGGGCAGCTTCTGTTAGAAGAGAATGGAAATAAATACACGCTGTGCCAGGAGAGCAGGTCTACGCAGGACAAGCTCTGGGACAAACAGAGGCCGGGGACGCATCCCCACGCCTGCCTTTGGGGCCCCCGGGACCGCCCGAGTGACAGTGTCCAGGTTGGGCCACTCACAGTGGACCAAGCAGGACCACCATTGACGGACCCCTGAGCTGTTGGCAGAATGACAGGCCATTCCCAGCGCTTCTAAGGCCGTGGCGCTCTCACCAGAAAACACGCCTCGCCAGTCCTGCTCAGGGCATCTGGGGCCCTTCTGGAGACCACTCGACCCCCGCGGCTGGGAAACGGAGGGGCGCTTTCGCGGCGATACTGTCCTCCTCATGTCACTCTCTGTTTGGCCATCTTGGCTGTCATTACCTGTTTTTTTTTCTTTGTTGGTCAGACAGGAGTTTTGCTCTTGCTTGCCCCAGGACTGTAATACAGTGACATGATCGTCGGCTCACTGCAACCTCTGGCCATTCGGCGTTCAGAGTGATTCTTCTTGCGCTCAGCCTCCCCAGTGACCTGAGATTACAGGCATGTGCTCCACACGCCCAAGCTAATTTGTTGTATTTTTTAGTCAAGCGATGCGCGGTTTTCACCAACTTTCGGCCAGGCTGTGGGTCTCAACCTCCTGACCTCAGGTGATCCACCCACCTCGGCCTGCCCAAAGTGGCTGGGATTACAGGCGTGAGTCACGGTGCCGCGCCCAACCATTTTTAAATCGTGACTTTTTGAGTTGATTGATGGACATCTTCCATGATGAAGATCCAAACCACACCTGGCTGTTGTGGAGTTAGGAATGTATGTTTACATTCCCTTTTTCTTCTTTTTTCTTTTTTTTTTTTGATTGTGGCAGAAAACACATAACAAAATTTGTCATCTTAACCATTTCCAAGTGCACGATTCCGTGTCACTGAGCCATTCACGGTCCTGCAGCCATCACCATCCTCCATCTCCAGAACTCACCACCTTCCCAAACTGAAGCTCTATCTCCATGAAACACTTACTCCCGTCCCTTCCCAGCCCCAGGACCCTCCATTTGACTTTGTCTCTGTGGCTCTGAGGGCCCTGAGCGGAATCACAGGGTTTGTCCTTATTCATCCTGCCTCTCTTGCGTTCAGGCCGGAAGCACGCCACGCCTCTGTGATCAGGTACCTGAGGCCTGGTGTCCCTTCCGCAGCAGAGCACAGACATCCTCACCCACTTGCACAGCTGCGTGGCTCTCCCTCGGGGGACGGACAGGGAGGCTCTGGCGACCCTGCTTGGCTGCTCAGGTACCTACAGTGTCATCAACACCTTCCCAACTATGATCTGTCCCCTCCTCGCATCACACCCCACAGCACTGACCCAATCCTTCCAGATGCTTCCACAGGTCCTCCTGCAGTTGCCTCCCACTCAGAGGGAACCTTCTCAAAGGCAAGCCTGACCCACAGGCAGGAGTCTGGGCTCCTTTCTGAGCATCTACAGACTCTAGCTCAGCCTAGTCATGGCTGAGGCCACCCGGTCCCAAGGACACCAGGCTGCCTGTGGCCAGGGGCCACACCCCCGATGCCCCTGAACCTTTGCCCATGTGCCCCCCTCCTTTTTGGCAGTCTCGCATCCCCTGGCAAACTTTTCCTTTCATATCCTTCAAAATTCAGTTCAAGGCCTCCTCTTCCAGGAAGCCTTCCTGATTGCAGGCCACACTCACCCCAGTGCCTGTCCCAGAACCGGCCCTGGAGAAGGAGGGGCTGTCTGCACACCTGTCACCCGCTGCATCACACACCTTATTCAGGCAGGGCTGACCTGGTTGGAATGAGAGAAACGCTCTCCAGGCATCTCTGACAAAAGGTTCTTGGCAGCCGTGCTGTCTCGGTTGTCCTGGGGCAGGTCCTTGCGTCTGATTGCTCTGTCCTCTGTCCTGGCAGCAGTCCCGGACACCAAGGCCAGGCTGGACCTACCTCTAGGAGTGCTCAAGTAGGGAATGGGGCAGGTGGGGGTCTACGAGGAGGCCAAACAGGGATCAGGAGGGTAGAGGGCGGAGGGCGGTCCCAGGAGAGAGCTCCCCCTGCAACCTGGGGTGTCGGCCAGGGGCCTACATGAGAGCAAACCTCGGGCAGGGCTAGTGGCCTTCTAGGCAGGGGTTTGGGAAGCGCCACACTTGGGTGTGGGGGGAGGGGAGCATGGGGTGGTGCCTGGATGTGGCACCGAGACCATGGGTATGAAGTGTTGGGTTTCGGAGGTGAATGCGGGTGGCCCAGACAGGCTGCAGGGTAGACTGAGCCCTCGGGGGGGAAAACGGCCGCCATGCGGCCAGCAGGGGGCGCCCCCGGCCCGCGCCCAGCGCCGGGCCTCGCTGGGGTCCGTGGCTCGGCTGGATCCCCCACACCAGGTCCGACTGAGTCTCTATCCTCCCTGTGCGGCTCCTGCACCCCGGCGAACCTGGCTCGCTCTGTGCCTCAGTTTACTCCTGCGGTCCGCTGAGCGGGAAGTGGAGCCCTGGCTCGGGGACCTCAGCCCGAGGCCGGCGCTGCTGCGGGAGCCCAGGCCTCCTGAGGCCGCCCCATGCACAGGGGCGCTGCAGAGCGCGGAGCCCGGGAGCTCGCACCGCCTGTTCGTGGTGTCTCTGGGGTGCAGGGGTGGAGGACATAGGGATGTGGGGGTCGGGGGCAGCCCCAGGCGGGACGCTGTGCCAGTGCCGCCCCAAAGGCCCAGTGCGCAGGATCCCTCGCGCCCTGGAGCCTGCCCCGCCCCTACCCCCTCCAATCCCAGCCTGCTCCGCCCCTATCCCCTGTGCCTCGCCCCCGCCCCCGTCCCCCCCCCTATCCCTAAGCTTGCCCCGTCCCCAAGCCCGCCCCCAGCGCCCGCCCCCAGCGCCCGCCCGGCCCCTGCCCCCGCCCCGCCCCGCAACCCCGAGCCTGTCCCGCCCCCGCACCCCATACTCCACCAACCGGGGCCTACCCCTACCCCGCTCCGCCCCCGAGCCCGCCCCCCAACTCCTGCCCGCCCCGTCCCGCAGCCGCGCAGCCACCACGCTCGCTCCGAGCTGGTCCGAGGAGCTGCCGCGGCGCTCGCCAACGCCAGGGGGCGGCGTTGTCCTTCCCGCGGCTCCGGGACCCCCGCTTGCTCGGGAAGGGGAGGCCGCCTTGCAGCGCCGCCCCCTGCCCCGCGCCGGGACCTCCTGTGCCCCTTTCCTTCCTCCTGATAGGGGAAGAGCGGCCCCGCCGCCTGGGCGCCGACTTTCCTTGCAGAAGCACAGGCGGGGGGTGGGGGACCCAAGCCAGGGGCGTGTGTGCGCTCGGCGCCCCCTCCAGAGGGTCACCCAGCAATCAGCAGCGGAGGGGCGGGGAGAAACAGAGACAGAGAGAGACGGGGGAGGCAGAGAGAGGGAGAGAGAGACAGAGAGAAGGAGGGAGAGAGACAGAGAGAGAGCGGGAGACAGGCAGAGAGAGAGACGGGAGAGAGAGACAGAGACGGGGGAGGGAGAGAGAGATAGAAAGGGAGGGACGGGAGAGAGGGAAGGAGACAGGGAGAGAGGGAGAGGAACAGAGACAGAGATGGGGGAAGAGAGACAGAGACAGAAAGGGAGACCCCACTTCCAGGCAAGAGCACACGGGGCATGGGGTTGGTGCGAAGCCCTGCTGTGCACCGGGGCTCAGGTGAGCCAGGCTGGCACCGGACGCCTCCCGTGGAGACAGCACAGGGTCCCGGTTCCACCGGGATGCTCCACAGTCTCCTTCCGGGCTGGCAGCGAGGCCGTGGGGAGCAAGTGATCTGTCTCAGAGCTGACAAGCTGCGTGCGGGGCACAGACCGAACCCTCGGGGAGGCAGCGGTTAGTGCGGCATGTAAGGTCAGTCAGTGGTCGCAAGAGAAAGGGCTTGGCCTTTCGAGGGTGCCCTACACTGCACAGTGACCCCCTGGCCGCTGGCCCTGCTGGCGCCATTGTCTCCCTCTAGGTGGTCTGGGCTGCTAAGGGTAGGTGTGGACAGGAGTCCCACAGCCCTGGGACTGGCTCACCGCGTCCTCTTCCAGGGGGCGTTAGAACTGAAGCTTGAACACAGCCTGGACATCTCCCCAACCTTCCCCCTGGCAGGCAGCTCCTCCACCACCCTCCTGTGTCCCCAGCCACCCCATTCAGCAACTTGGGCGTAAAACAGACACCCGTTGGGTGAATGGCTCTTCCGGACACAGAGACAGCTTCAGACAGGAGGCAGGTTGGCGGGCCAGCAATGGCTGACGATGCTCTGGGGTTTCTGGAAAGATGGTTCTGTGAGGTCTAGGGGACAGGGAGGGACAGTTCAGAAAGGAGTTGGTCCCATAAAAGCATTTGTGTGATAATGGGCCGGGCGTGGTTCACATCCATAATGCCAGCCCTTTGGGAAGCCGAGACGTGAGGATTACTTGAGGGCAGGAGTTTGAGACCAGCCTGGGCAACATGGTGAGACCCTTGTCTCTACAAAAAGATTTTTTTTTTTTTAAATTAGCTAGGCATGCTGGTGTACACTTGTAGTCCTAGCTTCTTGGGAAGCTGAGGCAGGAGGCTCACTGAAGCCCAGGAGGTGGAGGCTGCAGCAAGCCGTGATCAGGCCACTGCACCATGGCACTCCGACAGCGACAGAGTGAGACTTTGTCTCAAGAAAAAAAAGAAAAAAGAAGAGAAAAACTAAATATAGACTTCTTCTTTTTTTTTTTTTTTTTTTTTTTTTGAAGTGGAGTCTCACTCTGTCACCCAGACTGGAGTTCAATGGCACGATCTCGGCTCACTGCAACCTCTTCCTCCCAGGTTCAAGCCATTCTCCTGCCTTAGCCTCCCAAGTAGCTGAGACTACAGGCGTGGGCCACTACACCTGGCTAGTTTTTGTATTTTTAGTAGAGATGGGTTTTTACCATGTTGGCCAGGCTGGTCTCGAACTACTGACCTCAAGTGATCCACCTACTTCGGCCTCCCAGAGTGCTGGGATTACAGGTGTGAGCCACCGCGCCCAGCCTAGACTTCATTGTTTAAAGCAGTTTCAGGTTCATAGCAAAATCATCATTCCTCAGAGTCCTCAGCGTACATTAGGGGCCCCTCTTGGAGGTGTGCATGGCGTGGCTTTGAGCAGGTACATAATGACAGCACCCGCCCTCACAGTGCTCTATACTATAGTTTCCCTGCCCTAGGAATCCCCGGCTCGCCTCATGCCTCCTTCACCCCTGCCCCGGGATTTCCGCTGATTCTATTGGATTCTTTCTTGGGATTCTGGCCAGGCAGGGACAGGGGTTCACACTGCTCAGACAGGAGACAGGCTCCTGGGATAGGGGCACTCACCCTCAGGATGGGCTGAGGACTGACTCGAGGCCAGGGTCACACACCTGGAAACGTGGCTTAGCTCCATCCTGTGGGCAGCCAGACGGGCAGCTGTCGTGACCCCTGCTGGCTACTCACGCCCCTTGGCACAATCGTGGCCGTGGGGAGCTGTTCTGTTGTGGAACATGAAGGTCATGGAGAGCCACAGTGGCACAGGCAGCATGTGACCAGCTCTCAGACAAGTGCTCAGGGAATGTCCAGCAGGGTTGTCACCCCGTGTAGAGCAGACAGCCCCGAAGTGGCCCCAGCATTTCCTGCAGTCGGCCAGTGAGGCAGGGTCAGTTGCTTGAGTGTCTGGAGGCTTCTCCCCTGCCCAGCCCGCCTGCTGTGTGCCCACAAGCTTGGTGGCCAGGAGACATTTGTCAAAGGAATGCCTGATTGCATGAATGAACAGATGCCTTCTCCCATGAATTGCCTTGATGCCTACAGAGGCAGGACCAGAGGCCCCCACCTGGCTGTCAGAACTATAGGGCGATCGGGTGGCTTGCTGTCCACCCCCATAACCTCCCGATGGCCATTTATCTGCAGAGCTGGTCCCCACAGGGATCAGAGCTTGGCAGGGGCTCCGATTTGCCCAGCCTTGAGGACTTGGCCATCACATACCAGGGTCCAGGTAAGGGCAGCCAGTCTGTTGGCCCTGGAATGATGCTTGTGGTGGAAGCCACGAGCGTCCCTCACCCCAGATGCCCAGGATGCTCTGGACACAGGCCGCAGGGGGCACGGGCGTCAAATTAGCATTGCAGGAGGGTCCTGCGACTGTTGATATCAGCACTTCGGGGTTATTTATGAATTCATCTATTTCCTGGGACAAGCCTTTCTGCATTCGGTTGCCATGGTAGCTTTAAACCCGGTATCTTATTAATTCTGCATGTTATGAAATAAATATAGATCAGACAATTGCAGTGAAGGTTCTATTTTTTTATTATGCATTTGGTTCTTGGTGCCGGGGATGGGATGCTCCCAGCACACCACTGTCAACACACATCCATCAGCCTCAGGGGCCTGGGCGGGCTGCAGGGGCGCACTCCTGCGCCTGAGAACAGAGTGGAGCTGGGGAGGGGACACGAGGCTGCCTCAGGGAAAGGGTGAGGCTTGAAGACCCCCTGGGCACCGGCAGCTCCTGAAGGAATTTCTGCAGGCCGGCAGGGATGGACGCACCGGGGAGGGAGGCCGGTGCCCTGGGGTGCTTCGGCTGGAATTGCAGGGCCAGTGGGTTGGAATGGCCCCCAACTGTGGAGTGGGAGCTCGTGATGATGCCGAGCGGAGGTGCCAGGAGCAGGGGCCGCTCAGCCGCCCCTGGCACGGCCCGAGCAGAAGAAGAGACACCATGGAACCAGCACTGAGCTGCCCCTGGCGCTGCCTGAGCAGAATAAGAGACTTCATCGGACCGGCACTCAGCCGCCCCTGGCACTGACTAGGCAGAAGAGACTCCATCGGAACCAGCAGGCGTCACGGTCCCTGATGTTCTTGAGGTTTCAGGCTGGCAGGGGGAGTCCGGTTAGGGAGGAACCAGAGGTGGAGAGGGGGCCTGCCGGGATCTCTTTTGGGCACCTTGGCTATCGCTTAGTTTCGTGGGCCGTTGTGGGGACTCAGTGAGCTGCCCTGATAAAGCTGAATCGCCCAGCGGGCTGGGAAGCGGGGATGTTTCCACCTCCACTTTGCAGAGCCCAGAGACATGAAGTCACGAGTGCACCAGCCCGTGGCGATCCATGGGGACTTGAACCCAGGGCTGTTTCCTGCAGGGCCTGGCCCTCCCTAGGCTCTGAAGCAGAGTCCCCCATGCATTCCTGATCTCTTCACCCCCAGAAAAGCATTCCCAGGTCTATCTGTGCTTGCCCACTGCAGACCAGGCAGGGGCCGTGTGGCCAGGGGTCACCTCTGTAGCAGTCAGTGCCTAGGGCTGGCAGCAGGCCGTCTGAGGACCAGCGGGGGCAGGGGCCGTGTGGCCAGGGGTCGCCTCTGTAGCAGTCAGCGCCTAGGGCTGGCAGCAGGCCGTCTGAGGACCAGCGGGGGCAGGGGCCGTGTGGCCAGGGGTCGCCTGTGTAGCAGTCAGCGCCTAGGGCTGGCAGCAGGCCGTCTGAGGACCAGCGGGGGCAGGGGCCGTGTGTGGCAGAGTGGCTGCTTGGGAGTGACGTTTTCTCCCTGAGTCTCCCCTGCCCTGGGTCCTGGTTCTGGCACAGATGGTTCTAGGGAAACAGTGACAGCCTTTGGCTGAGTCAGGCCTTTGCTTCCTCTGACCACTAATGGCCCTGGGCTCAGGCCCAAGAATGCACCAGGAACCGGGACGGGCAGGGCCAGGGGAGCAGGGAAGAGGGAAGGGTCCCAGTAAGGGAACTGGGTGCAGGGTGCCCAGCCAGGGCTTTGCAAGCAACCATCAGGCAGAGACCCGGTGCAGAGGAGACTCCTAGAAACACGCCACCTGCAAGCAGAGGAAACGGTGTGGGCCCGGCTGCGGAGCTCCCAGGCACCCCGGGGCGGGTCATTGGCTCAGGGGCCCAGCCCCCTTCTGTCAAAGGGCTGGGAGGTCACCAGGGTCTGTCCAGCTGCAAGTCCCCAATTCTCTGCAGAGTCTGGTTCTTTGGGGCAGGCTGGGACCCCGGCTGCCTGTCACCCTGCCACAGCTCCGCAGCGGCCCATCGATCCCCCTCGTCCCCTGCCAGCGGCCGCGCCAGCGTGGGCCACTCAGACGTTCCCAGCCCCCGGGGCCCAATCAGGGCATCGACAGAACGCCACGCTCGCCATTTAATTAAGCTTAGTTTAATTAAAAACCTGGAGTTCTTTATTAGACTTGGTAATTGATTTAATTTTCTGTGGAATTCAAGTGCCAAACACCTCGATTGTGTGAGCTCCTGAATTTTGGCAGGTGGAGACAGAGAGCCAAAAAGAAAAATCCTTCCTCCACTGGGTGAGGTTTGTCTCACAGCAGCAAGGGCAGAATCCTCTGCTGACCCTCCCTTTCCCTCCCCTCCCCTCCCCTCCCCAAAACCTCCCTTCCCTAGGCCTAGGGTTTTTCGCCATGGGGAAGGGCCGCCCCTGCTACCAGGTGGGGTTTCTGAAAATCCCACAGTGGCTCGGGTCTCTGCTGGCCCTGGGCTGGCGGTGGAGAGGGGTTTCCTTAGGTGATCCAGGGGGGCTTCTGAGTGGGGAGGAGGATGTGGGGTGCAGGGAATCCATTTTGTGGGTTATTTTTGGAACGTTTGGTCCTTCCTGGCCACCTTCAGCCCTGCCTCGCTCCTGAGGGACCTGTAGGCCTGATGGCGGGGGTCTCGCCCAGTGGTGCCTCACATGTCGCCAGCCAGGTCCTTACAGTACAGAGCACCACGCCGTGGCTGCACTGGAGCTTGATGGCTCCGGAAAGGAGCAGGACACAAGAAAAGCAGTGGGGTGTTTGCACGCAGGAAACCCGTCACTCACCTGTCTCCCAGGAATGCCAGCACCCTCTGCAGGACGTGCCAGCCTCCAAGTCACCTCCAGATTAAAACCCGCCAGGCATCTGGAACAGCAGCTCCAGCCACAACCCTTCATTACTGAAAGCCTCGGAAGGGCGCAAGGCGTCCTGTCCAGTATCCAGTGGTGACCTTCGACTCTTGGCTGCTCCCGGGGCGGGAGAATACCTTCTGTAGAAGGAAATTTCTCTTTCCTAATTGGGATAGACCATAAAAGCAGGGGTTTTAAAAAATTATTTATTTATTTTTTTGAGATAGAGTTTCACTCTTGTTGCCCAGGCTGGAGTGTAATGGCGCGATCTTGGCTCACGGCAACATCCGCCTCCCGGGTTCAAGCGATTCTCCTGCCTCAGCCCCCTGAGTAGCTGGGATTACAGGCACCCACCATCATGCCTGGCTAATTTTTGCATTTTTGTAGAGACAGGTTTTCTCCATGGTGGTCAGGCTGGTCTCGAACTCCTAACCTCAGGTGATCCATCTACCTTGGCCTCCCAAAGGGATTACAGGCGTGAGCCACCGCACCCAGCCAAAAGCAGCTTTTAAAAATACAGGCTGGTGGCAGAGCCCAGGGGCTCATACTTGTGATCCCAGCACTTTGGGAAGATGAGGGGGAGGACTGATTGAAGCCTGGAGTTGGAGACCAGCCTGGGCAACATGGTGAGACTCCATCTCTACAAAAAATAGTGTAAAAAAAAAATAGCCAGGTGTGATGGTGCATGCCTGTAGTCCTAGCTACTCAGGAGGCTGCAGTGGGAAAATGGTTTGAGCCCAGTAGTTCAAGGCTGCCGTGAGCTGTGATCACACTGCTGTACTCCAGCCTGGATGACAGAGACTCTAGCTCTTACCAGAAAAAAAAAAAAAAAACAATCAATCAATCAATAGAATAGAGGTAAGGGCTGAGTGCGGTGGCTCACGCCTGTAATCCCAGCACTTTGGGTGGCCGAGGCGGGTGGAGGGTGGATCACCTGAAGTCAGGAGTTCAAGACCAGCCTGGCCAACATGGTGGAAGTCTGTCTCTACTAAAAATACAAAAATGAGCTGGGCATAGAGGTGCATGCCTGTAATTCCAGCTACTCAGAAGGCTGAGTCAGGAGAATTGCTTGAACCCGGGAGGCGGAGGTTGCAGTGAGCTGAGATCGAGCCACTGCACTCCAGCCTGGGCGACAGAGCAAGACTCGACTCAAAAATTAGAAAAGAATAGAATACAATAGAATAGAATAGAATAATGGTTGAGTTTTACAAAAACACTCTGGTGGTTCTCTAAACTCTGAAGCACAGAGTTACCATGTGACCAAGCAATTCAATTCCTGGATTCAAACCCAAAAGAAATGAAAACAGGCACCTTCAAGAACTTACACACGAAGGTCCACAGCAGTGTCACTCACAAAAGCCAAGATGTGGAAACGGCACCAAGAACCATGGATGGGTGAGTGGATAAACAGTAGATCTATTGAGGGAACGGAGATTTGGGCCTGAAAAGGAATGAGTTACTGATTCATGCTAAGACCCGGAGGAAGCTTGAGGACATTGTGCTGAGTGAGAAGAGCCACACACAAGCCCACGAGCCCACGACCGTGTGATTCCGTTGACAAGGAAGGCCTTGTGTAGATCCCTGAAGGCAGGAAGTGGATGAGTGGGCACAAGCTTGTGCTCTCTTTCTTTTCCTTTTCTTCTTTTTCATTGTAAAAATTGTGATTCAAAGAAACCTAACAAAAATGTTGCCATCTCTATTAGTCTATATCTATCTTTTCTATATATCATTATAAATCTCATCTATAAAGACCATAATGGCTGGGTGTGGTGGTTCGTGCCCGTCATCCCAGCACTTTGGGAGGCTGAGGCGGAAGGATTGCTTGAGCTCAGGAGTTTGAGAACAGCCTGGGCAACAAAGTGAGACCCTGTCTGTACAAAGAAAAAAAAAAAGCATGGTGGTGCACACCTGCTAAGCGTGGTGGTGCACACCTGCTGCTATCCCTGCTACCTGGGAGGCCCGCAGAGGATTACTTGAGCCCAGGAGGTCGAGACTGCAGTGAGCTGTGATTGCACCACTCCACTCCAGCCTGGGCAACTGAGCAAGACCCTGTCTCAAAAAAAAAAAAATCATAATAACTCTCTTTATATATTGATGTAGATATATGTAGAAAGAGATTTATTCTGAGGGGTGGGCTTCTGTGATGATGGAGGCTGAGAAGCCACATGACCTGCTGACTTCCTGCAAACTGGAGACTCAGGAAAGCTCTGCGTGGTTCCCATTCGAGTCCAAAGGTGGAGAACCCGGAGTGCTGAGGATGGAAGTCCCAGGGCAGGAGACCGAAGACCCAGCTGGAGCAGGCAGGCAGAGCGAGAACACGCCCTTCCCCAGCCTCTGTGTTCTCTCTGGTCCCTCCGCAGGTGG